TTAATACGAGAAAATGAAAAAATGGAAACAAAGTCTTTGTAAATAGGGAGGGATGGAGGGGTTGAAGGGAGGGCAGGGTAATGGGAAAAAATAAGAACCTAGAGAGATTATGTAAAGGTGCAAATTTCTAATGAGGAATGTCATTATATTGTATACCTAAAATGTACCAATAAAATTAATTTTAAAAAGATAAAAAATACACATAGCTAACTACAGTTATTATAAATATAATATTCAATCATAAAGAGAGTTATAAAGTATTACAGACTTGTCAAGTATACTTTAATAAAGTTGGAAACAAAAAAAACACACACACAGAATTCCCTGAGGAATTTGGAGAAGGCTCCTTGAAAACATTTCAGTCTCCTCTTTGAAGGCTGCTTTTGGCTTCCATTTTCGAAATAGCTAACCAGAAACTGCTGTTCTTCAGATTTCTTGCCCTAACAAGTAAAAATTAAAACTCTCCAAGTTGTTTCACGCCACACACCTAAATGTGACACTTCCAATCTTTTTAAAGATTAAAAAAAGGTTACTTTCACATATGGGGCAATACTGTTGGTGAATTTAGCAACACATGACTGACGAGGAAATAAGAATTTGCAAAACTCTTTAAATGACTTTGACCTTCCATTAAAGAGTTACTAATTTTGAATACCAATTCTCAGAAGAATAATAATGGCGTCTAGTCAAATTATACTTATTATACTTTAGAAATTAGTCACAAGAGAAAATTATCTAAGTCAATATAATAACCGGAAGGAGAAAGCTATATTAATACATGAGAATTACCCAATTGATAGTCTACTGAAATAGATCCAAGAAGAAAACCAAGATGTATTACAGAACTGAGCTTTACTAAGCTTTATATGCTTAGTAAAATTTCATTCATACTTGCAAATGAAATTTGCATCTACCCAGTGGGGATGGATAGTTGAAGTAATATGATTTAAGTCATCAAAAAGTAATAATGTACATGAGTAATGTGTTTGTTAATCTAACTGATGGGCAGAAAGTAAGGTTATCTCAGGGATCGTCCTTAGAATGATTCCATATAAGACTTGCTGATGCCTTCCCTTCTCCATCAATGATATGCACTGCTATTGACTTGAAGCCTTTATCATTTCATTTGGTTAAAAGAAAGGTAAGAGTCTATATCTACTTTTAGCTTAAACCAGCAACTTGGGACAAAATTCAGCTTAGGTACTACAGGAATACCAATAAGAAATAAATACAAGATTTTGTAGAAATGGTAGAAGACATGAGGAAGCCCAATGACATTAAAGTAATTTTATGATTATTAAGATTTTGTACACAAGGCAAGTAAGTAGATATTTGATCATGGAAACAACTCATATTTGTTAAATCCTTGGTAGTTTTCAAAAAGCTCTCATAAACCTCCTTTTATGTAGCTAACTTAAAACCCACAAAAGTAAGCAAGAAACGCATTATTATTCTCATTTTACAGATGAAGAACCACAGATCACAAGAGATTAAGTATCAAAACCACATCCTGTGAGTCTTTGACTAACGCTTTTTCTACCATGTAACTAAATATGGGGTTGTTAACTAATCGTATTATGGTCATTTCAACTCAGGATTTTAAGCTCACTGATACTTCCCAGTTTTTAGTGTAAATTTGTAAGTTACTACTTTCAAGCCTAATCTTTCAAAGTGGAAAAAAAAATCTTATACAAAAATACATTAATCACAATGATGAGGTATCATTATACTGTATGTATTAGATCTTGTACTACTTTTCTACTTTATGCCAAAAACAATTCCTTAGTTGCTGAACCAACAAGCTTAATCTGCCACAAACACATCCTCTTAGTCCTTTGTAGAAATTAGTGAATTGTCTCACTGAAATTGGTAGATTCGTGAGAATTGCCTTTTCTTGTACTCTACAGTTATAAGTGATGAATTGATTCATAAGGTACCTAACAGTAAAACTTGATGAAAAGGAAAATTATCACTAGGAGGGGAAAAGGCAGGTGCTAGGTAAATCATCTCAGGGATATTCACTTATTTACCCAACTAACAGGACTGTGGAAGTATACAAGTAAACTTACAAATACTGCAGAATGAGTAGTTATCATGGGCTGGCCACTACTATAGATGATTTATGAGTACTGGCTCATTTTAAGAAGTTAGTGGGGTAAGTACCACTATATCCTCTTCCTACAGCTAAGGAAACTGAGAAATGAAATAAGATGCTCCAAGATAAGACAGCAGGTATATGCCACATTAAAATTTAGGAATTTTAATGTTAAGTCCTCTGATTTCAGAGCCTCTGGTCTAAATGAGACTTCTGCAGACTATCACTTGTGAGTCAAATCAAGACCAACACCTATTTTTATATAGCCCCAGGAATAAATGAAAACAGTATTTTTAAAAAAATTTTTGTGATGTGAAAATTATGTAAAATTCAAACTTCAGCTATGTACAAAGTCACATTCATTCACATAGCTCATATGTGTTTCAGATTACAAAGGAAGAGTTGAAAAGATGTGACAGAGAACATACTTGGCCTGCAAAACCTAAAATATTTACTATCCGGCCCTTTACAGAAAAATTGCTGACTTCTGTTCTACAACATTCTACTTTATGGCTATTCAACATCTCCACTTAAAATATATAAAGAAAGGCCTCAAATTTATACCCAAAAAAGGAATTCCTGATTTCCTCTACCACCCAAATCCTAATCCATATCTCAGTAATCTTCCTCACCAGAAAATCTGTCCTTCTAGTTATAAAAGCCATATATTTAGAGTAGCTTTGAGTCTTTCTTTTACTCAGTTTCAAAATCATCAAGCAAATCTGCTTGCCTCTACCTCTGAAGTATCCAACCACATCATTATCTTCATTGTTAGCACCCTGGCCCAAGTCATCACCAACTTGTTTCTGACTAACCTTTTAACCAATTCTCTCTTGCTTCAACTCTTGCCTAACATAGCTGCCAGACTGCTTCTTCTCTTACAAACCCTCTGGCCTTCCTAAACACTCCTAACTTACCCCATCTCAGGGCTTTGACACTGACTTGCGTTCCTATCTCTATAAGTCTCTTCTCACATGTCATCTCATTAGGTAAGGTAGGCCTTCCTTCTCCATTCTACCTCATGCCTACACCTAGGTCCCAGGATTCCCTTTTCCTTGCTAATTTATTGTTCTCCATATAACCAATCCTGCCATCCCACATGTATAACTGATGTTTAAATAAATTTAAGTTTCATGAGAGCAGATTAGTTCACTTTCTTTACTAGGATATCTCTGGCAATAGACCACAGCCTGGCATATATTAGATGCATAAGTAGACATCAGCTGAGTGAATGAGAAAATGGTTCCTATTCAAGATGCACACAGTCCACTGACATACGGAGATGGGTAAACACATTCAACTTATAAATACTTGTATTAGGCAGGGTTTAATAGTGTATTTGTCATGATTTTCTACTTTCATATCAAATTTATTCTAAACAAATCGGACTTTGGAGTTCTCAAACTAAAGAAAGAAAGAGGTCACTCTGTAACCTTATGGCCTATGTATGAAGTTAATCTAGTCAACCAATCTACTCCATTAACAGGGGTATTGAAGTGGTGTTCAAACTTCATCCTGAAAGACAATCTTCTTTCATTTCAGTCTGAATTCCCTCCATTGTGTCCCTAATTCTAGGTCTATGCTGTCTAAGCCTACTCTCTCCTTTCCTCCTAAGTCTTAAGGCTCACTACTTGGTTCCTATCAACACCTCTGAAGGAGACATTCACTTCTTAGCCATAAATGCAGTGGAGTTTTCACAACAATAATATATCCTTTAAAGTAGTGCCATTTCTTTTCTTTTTATATACTGGGGATTGAACTCATGACCTTGTGCTTACAAGGCAGGCACGGTGCCACTGAGCAAAATCCCTGGCCCAACAGTACTATTTCTAAGAATGTATTCAAGTTGAGTCAGTTTGGAGGAGTTAAGAGTAGCACTCTACTGTCTGACCTGGAGGCAATGTCAGTCACACACATACTGTATGCATGTATGTATGTGTATGTATGTAAACATGTAGGTGAGTTCTCAAATAGTAAAATGTATTGATGAACCAATCACACAACCATAACAAAAATAAACAAATGACATTCCCAGGACACTGACCTGACAGCTTCCTTATTTCCTGACAATTCTTTTTATCTAGGAAAAGCAGTCACAGTTCTAATTTATTGATTTTTAAATAAATATATGAGAAAGCTGCAGATGTGGTAAGAGAAGAGAAGAATCAATGAGAAGAAAGAGCCATACCCTCTCCTCCAGTCTAGCCAGCTGCTCTTTGTAGAACGCATCCTGCTTCTTTATCATTCGGTCTTTCTCTTCCAGCTGCTTAGCCTAAAAAAAGAAATGAGGAATATACTATATCAAGAAAAAGCAGCAACAGCAAAGTAAAAGTCAACTATAAATTATATTAGAAGTATGCAAAGCTGATGATTTTTTCAATCTATTAGGTCTTTGCCATAGAAAAACATTAATATGATGATGATTACTGTATTTAAATGTAAAGAATGAGTCTGCATTGTACTTTAAAAATAAAAAGGGTAACAGCTGTGGCCTACTTTGTCCAAATGTGTTTAGAAATTTCAGAATACAGTACATAATAGACTTTCATTTAACTTCTCTTTTGAAGAATAATTTAAGGGATTAATATTTTGTACAACAAAACTTTGATTTTATTCTGGGACTAAGATACATGGTTACTAACCTTGAACAAAAAAATGCCTATATAGCATTTTGTACATAAGCCTTACTTTGAGAACTCTTAAATTACTCGAGAAACCTATATACAGATATGTGTATAATTCTATTCCCCATTTATGAAGAAATAGAGGTGGGAGGTGGCACAAAATTATTGTAATTATTTGAATAATTTAAAATACCAGTAAGTAAAACTAATTTTAAAACTTTTAGTTATGCTACTTCTAAATTATAAGACCTTATTTTACAAAATTTGAAAAGCAGTGATATATTTGATTTTTTGAAAAAGAATATAAATGACTATGGATGCTTTTCAAGATTAGTAAAATTACACATTTTTAAAAACCGTAATTGGCATTCTGAATTATGTTTAATTGACCTTTGTTCCTAATGGAAGAGACCTCCTTGTATCATCTCAAGTTAGAAAAAAATTTAATATATTTTTTTGTTAAACAAATGGTAAATACATGTCTTATTACTCCTTGTAAGAAATAAATATATTTTGGCATCCCATTCCTTTTGCATATGACATATAATTTTGCAAAGTGATCAAGTGCTGCCTAGCTCATTTCAGTGTGTGTCCACTCAATTCTCTGCTTAGTTTAGGTGAATTCATTTGCATTTTGTGGGTTGTGTCATTACTTACTTTGTCTTCAAAATCCTGAGGCATGTTAAAAACAACAAACAGTTATTTAATAATGTAAGTATCATTTTTTTTCCTAAAATAACAGAGAAGTCAGACAATGCCTAAAGTGCAAACCAAAAATGGAAATTGGGGAAATAATAAGAGATATGTAACTTGGGACATATTTAAATGCCACTGTGCTCTTAATAAGTTATCGATAAAAGGTTCGTGCTACTTAAAAGTGTAGGAATAAATAGAAACAAATATAATATTAAGATTAGATAAAAATAAATTCATATGTAAGAACATAATCAATGGTCCCTTGGTATAACACCATAAAAACTTTAGTATGTAAATGTAGAAAGTTTTTTGTGTATGCACATACGTGCATGCGTGCATGCACGGTGCTCAAGATCAAAACTCAAGTGCATTGTGCATAACAATAGGCAACCACTCCACCACTGAGCTGCAGAAAGAATTTTTGAGAGAAAACTAAGTGGGAAAAAATATCCATGACTATATATCTAAAGAGAAAAGACATCTTTAGACTCAAAACACATACACACTTAAAATATAAAGGAAATGAAAAACAATGGACACCCAAGACCTCCATAAAACCATAAATCACAAAGTCTAAAGAATAAGCAAATGACAAAAAGAGGGAAAAAATTCCAATATGTAACTATGTAGTTAATGTTACACTTTCACAACAAGGATGTAATTCATATGCCTTGCTGCTGGGCAGCTCTGATTTGAATTCCATCACCTAATGTTAAATAGCTAATCACCAGTGTTCAAGCCATCTGATGGGACAGTCATGCACGTACCACCTGGTGTTCAAGCCAGCAAGAATGTGTTAACACATGAGCATTTAAACAGCAAGGCTTATACTTCCCCAATTCCTTTGGCAAAGAAGAGCAAAAAGAAAGACAAATTCAACCACACGGGAAATCAAAAAATGCAAATTTAAATAAGGTTACCTCACTCATCTATCAACTTGACAAAAATATAAGGTTATAACAGTCAATATCAGAAACAATATTGGAAAACAGGTTCTGCTATACACTGCTAGTCAGAATATATATTGGTATAATTATTTTATACATCAGTTTGATAAAATGTATTAAATTATAAAAACATATATATGCTCTGGGATCTAAAAATGTACTTCTAGGGCTCTTAAGGAATTAGGTAACACATATACTCAAAACATACTAAGTAAAAATGGGGGGAAGGCCCTATAAACAGGAAAGACAAAAAACCTTAAGGTAGGAAAGAAGGAAGACCAGGATAGTCTATAAATTGGTTACAACATGGTAGTAGGCTTATGGATGGTTTTTATTATTCTTGCTTATTTATATTTTCATAATTAATAATAAGCTTACTTTGTAGTCAACGGCAAAAGCAAGAAATTTTTTGAGATGAGAATACAAATATTTTTCTTCATGGTAGTTATGGCTACATAATTGTATGCATTTGTCAAAACTCACAGCTATATATGGCCGGGGATTTAGCTCAGTGGTTCTGCTGCTTGCCTCGAAACAACAAGGACCCAAGTTCAATCCCCAGTACCCAAAAAAAAAAAAAAAAAAAAAAAAAAGAATCCATTTAACTATATAAAACTTTTAAATTAAATGTAAATTAAGCATACTAAAATTTATTAAAATTTTTATCAATACAATGAATGTATACATAAGTATTATTATCTTCTTATGTGGCCAATTTTATTTCTATCATAGCAAGTGTTCAATTATACCAAGTATTAAGAAAAGTACAGAAGAATTTTTATCTAGGAAAATTTAAAGTATTATTTAAAACAACAACAAAGTTGGAAATACAGAAGTTTGAGTAAATAAATAAGCTATGGCCCAGCAACAGGAAATTAAGTATAAAGACTCTGGCTCAGTCATATGATCAAATATTATGACTCATTAAACTAATACCTTAGTAAAATAATTTTGGGAGACTAACAATATTAGGTGGAGAAAAAACAAGTCATAAAATAGCACGAACAGTAGGTTCTTAATTTGAGATAAAGACTGGAAAAGCAGGAGACAGAAGAGACAGATGGAGAAGGTTGAGTACTTGACCATATAGACATGGAATAAAATCTTAAGTATACTAAAATGTTAACAGTAGTTATGATATGCACATGGGGATGTATTTCTAATCTGGACATTTCCCTGTTTTCTATAATAAATATTTATTCTATAATTAGAAAAATATATTTTAAATACCAATATTAACACACTTATCTTTTACTATGAGATGGAAATGTAACATGATATGGAATCTAAAAGAGTAAATTAAGTAATTATGGTTTAAACTCCCAAAATTTGTTTTAACAACTTGAACAGTTATAGATAAGATGGAAATGATTGTACTTCCTAAATCCTTAATATACTAGCACTTGCTTCTCTTTCCATTCTATGTACGACTCTACCCACCACAGCTAGCACTATATACTAGCTATATGCTAATAAAACACTAGCACTATCTATTTGCTAAACACTGACACTAGCTATATGCTAGTAAACACTAACACTAGCTATATGCTAGTACAACACTAGCACTACATACTGTTTCTTTTTTTCACACAGCCAGATGTTTTTTAAATGCAATAAGGCTATAATGGATATTCCATTATATTTAGAAACCACTAAGAGAATTCAGTATTACAAGTGTATTACTTGTGCCTACTGAGAACACCACACCAACAAATTTAATTTTAATTATAACCTAAATAAAGGATGTACACAAATATCTTCATTCACTTTTCTGGAATACAAACTGTTTTGCAAACTTTTATAGCAGTACACCAAAATATCAGATATGTACATTAAGGACCAAGGAGGGACTATACCTCCGAAGACCTGACAACATCAAACTGTAGGCTAAAAGCACAAATCTTTTCCTCAACTGCAAACAGAATCAATAGTTTAAGAACCACTGGGAGAATAACAAAGCAAGAAACATGGCCACAACACTTTAATGGCACATTGCTTTGAAACAGTTAATGGGATGCTGGGAGGAAAAGTCACACGATATGAATCCTGAAACTTAAATAAGCCTAGAATACATTGACTAAGCTAATAGCTGCTGAAGATGGAGAGTCACACTCAACTTAAAAGCAGTAAACTAACTGCAAGGAAATAAAACTTCTCTGTAAAACTCTCTTAACAGAATTGTTATAAATGAACAAATAAAAATAAAGAGAATTATAACATTATTTATTATTGTGGTAGAATTCTTTCTTAGAGGAAAATGAACGCAAAGTCTTGCCATTATCTCATGTTTGCTACTCCTAGAAGAAATATACACTGATTAGTTTTCAGATCCTGCTAGATTTGGGTAACATGATTGGGCTTGAAAATGTGACAGAATATGCTTAAGTGGATCATTATGGAAATCTAGAGCCTCCCAAAAGCAAGAGAAACAAAGAAAATAAGAAAATCAAGTTTTAAGAAAACCAACATAAACATTTTGATGCTTTAACTCAGTGTTGTTAAGTAGATTTAAAATGAAGTATATATGTATTTACTTCCTCTAAGACTTGCCTTTTTTCAGAAAGGACTTGACAGTACTTTGAAACAAAATACATAATAAAGTCAATACAAGAGAAAACTGCTATTATGGATACTATGTCTTGTGCTGATAGGAACTTTACCTTCTCGCATCTATGCTTAGCTAAATCTTCATAACACAAACTTCTCTGCAGTACTATGCCCTTTTAGCCCTGGTTCCTCCTGGGGACTCAGGTATAGCACAAAGCGCATCACATTGGGAATCCAGTGACATTACAATCACTTAGCTCACAGGAAATACACCCATTGCTTCATCTGTCAAATATAAAGCATGTTAAGATTCTGTGGAATGGGAAAGTTTGTAAACTTTAAAAGACAAAGGTTCTTGAAATGTCAGTGTTCAATTTTAAAAGCTCACGGTAAAAAAACAAAGCAGGTGCTTGCTTGCTCAGTTCTCCATGAGATTATACGATGAAGGTGGAGATTACTAGGATTGAGAAAAGACAACAAGGCTAAATCACTCTAAATAGGAAATAACCACATTTTATTTTATTCTGAATCTTATAACCTTCTGGACTGAATTAGGAAACAATCATTCACAGTGATATGGATAATATGTGGCATGCAAAAAAATCTATTATCTTACAACTCATAGGCAGATCAGCATATAAGAGTAGAGAGGGAACTTTATTCCTTGACAAAACTACATAAACCACAATGTATGTGAACCTAATTAAACAATATGCTCACGTAAAACAAAGAGAAAGAACTGAAGTATCAAATGGACTGAACCACAGACTTGTGAAGCAATAATATATACAGAAGCCATAAAACATCATCACTGTGAATATCAATTAGGCATAAAAGAATAATTAAAGTAGCCACGTATTCAATTAGTTGAATACTAGATTCTCATTATAAATGAGAAATTTCACAGGGTTCACTGAGCCTTTATTAAGTGGCATTAATAAACAAAGAATTATACTTAAAGCACTGTTTTCCAAACCACAGCAGAAGGTGATCTTCAAGAAAGTAATGCATCTTGGTGAACTTAAATGATTCCCAACCTGTTATCAATACTGTCAAACTTTCCAATGACAACTTAAGACACATGAACCTAAGCTATGACCAAATCCTGGTTTACAATGGCATACCACAAAGACCTCTACCAATACTGTAATATGCGACGGAGGCTGAACACAGACCAGAGGTGAAAGACAGAAGCCCACTCATCTAACAGACTTCTTTAGCTGAGGTCTGGACTCAAACCCAGACTCCCAGGATTGGATCAAGTCAGTTGTTTTTATTTTACTTTATCCAAAAAAGTTTCAAGAATGCTGGTCTACATTCTAGCTTTTTTGTACTAATCACAAAACTGACAAACAACTACATCATCTGCCACTTTGAGCATGTCTACTTATTCACTTGAAATAAGAAAGCAGAGATAAACATCAATCATTTTTAAATTAAAAAGTGAAGCCAACAATGAAAAGAGAATATTGTTAGAGCACA